TTTGTTCAGGGCTGAGACCAAGCATTAAAAATGTCATTTTAGTACATATTTGTTAAAATTAAGAATCTTTTTTAAAATATTGGATTAGAGTGGAATGATCTTTCCAGTGTCTCTTCACTGATGCAGACAACAGACAGCTTCTCCCCAGAATAAATTGCCTTTATAATCTCAAGTCTCGGTTAGTGCCATGTGCTTTACCATACACTATTCTTGAAAAGCACACAGAAGATTCAGCTAGCGTGTAACATAACAGCTTTTGAATGAGTCATACTGTTTATCAATGCCAGCTCAGCTCTGCATTAGCTATATCTGCTTCTGAGAGTACAGCTTGAGGTGAGGTTTTCAGTTGATAAAGACTTAAATTATATGTTTTCTAAAGGATCACCTTTCTCCCTCTGTTCTGTCAGGGTAGTTATGATCTTCTGGGTTGCTCTTGCTGATAGGGATCATGAACTTTCCAGAATTAGCTTTCTCAGTCTTTCAGAGCCCTAGTTGACAATCTTCAGGGTGCAATATAAGATACAAAGGCTCAGACCTTCCTTTATTAGTATAAATACTATTATTCTTTTCTTTTCTTTCTTACACATTCAAAAGTTTTTAACAAGAAACACAGCAAACTGAAGGTGTGCTCACAATCTAAAAGAAGGACTTTGTAGAAAATTGAGAAATAAAACACAAAATTTTTCAAAAGACATTCCAGGTGTGCAGAGGATGAAAGAAAGCACAGAGACTTTTCTGAGAAGATGAAATGGATATTGTTGCTGGCATCAAGGATGGATTATTTTGTGAGGGTTTGGGGGAAGACAAGGGTGCTGATTTATGCCAGGGCTGCATGCAGTAGCGCAGGGGTGGCCAACCTGTGGCTCTGGAGAAGTTAATATGCTGCTCCTTATATATGCATCGATTCCAGGGCTGGGGCTACAGGCACCAACTTTCCAGTGTGCTGGGGGGTGCTCACTGCTCAACCCCTGGCTCTGCCACAGGCTCTGCCCCCACTCCACCTATTCCCGCCCCCTCCCCTGAGCCTGCTATGCCCTAGCTCCTCCCCCTCCACCACCCCCCCCCCCGAGCCTCCTGCACACCACAAAACAGCTGAGCGGGAAGTGCGGGGAGGGAGGGGGGGCGCTGATCGGCAGGACTGCCAGTGGGCAGGAGGCACTGAGAGTGGGGGGGGGTGGAGGGAGAGCTGATGGGGGGGCTGCTGATTATTACTGCGGCTCTTCAGTAATGTACATTGGTAAATTCTGGCTCCTTCTCAGGCTTAGGTTGGCCACCCCTGCAGTAGTGCCTTAAAAACAAGGACAAGAAGTTTGAACTTAGTTCACAGTGCAAAAGGAAGGTGGTAAAATTTCTGAAAGAAAGGGATGGAGGTGTGTGAGGTATTTTAAGAGATGAGTGAGAAAGATGAGTTGGCAGTGGTAATGTGGACAATTTGGAGGGAAAGACAAATTTAATATAGAAAAGACCTGTTACAAATAGTATGTAGTAATCAAGTAAGGCAAATGACTGAGATATAGAGCAGCGATTTAGCTGATTGGATGGAAAAGTTGTGAAGGAAAAAGGGACAGGACTTGGTCCTTTGTTTGAACATAGAACTAATTTTAACTACTTGGTTGGATTAGAATCGTAGACTTTAAGGTCAGAAGGTGGTGTTTTTAACTGCGTCTTTGTTTTAGAGTTTACTTTGCAAGTGTATATGTATTTTAACTGGTGAGAGGTACCCAGGAACCCTTGGGTGCCATTTATGAATCTTTAAATAGTTAACGCTAACTAGAGCATCACTTTGATAATATAAAAACTGACGAAAAATTTTATATAAAAATATTCCATCTTATTTCTCCATTTTTATGGCTTAAATTGTCAATACCATTTGATAAAATTGAGCTTTGTCAGTGTCTCTATTATAGTAACATATTAATTGAGCACTGCTGTATAGGGACAAAACATCACATTCCTCCTTACACTTTTACTCTTCTAATGAAGCTTAATTGGTCATTCCCATTGTTTCCTTTTTCCCACTGGTTTTTGTGCTGCCTTCCATGCTTCACTGTACATTTAGGATATCTTCTCTATTCTAAGTGTGTCTTCATTCAAAGTTGTCCTGAATATTCTGGGTGAGATCCTGAATCCTGCTTCGACCCCTTTACACTATGCTGGAGTGGCATAAAGTAACCCTAAAAGGTCCTGGTCATGTTTAGGGAGGGGGAAATAAGGGAAAAGGTAAGAAAGCTGCCTCTTGCAAACCCTCTTGTGAGCACCGGTGTTGGAGAGTGCTGGAGTGAGGCTGGGATTATGAGGGACATGTCAGGGATTAGGCATGCACCATGCAGCACTGTGGACATTTCAGGCAGCTCTGCATCCCGCAGGGCAGACTGGGGAAGCTGCTGTAATTTAGACAGGCCCCCAACAATATTCTTAAATTATGCTGGTGTCCTTTCCAGCTTCCAGAACAGCCCAGAATCAGGAAGCCAAAGGTTGCTAATAGACCCCTTATACCCCCACCCTCCTGAGTGGAGAGTTCTGTGCTGCCCGGAAAGCGCTAATCACTGCCAAACAGCTGTTTGGCGGCAGGAAGCACTTGGAGTTACGCAGAGGAGCGGGGACATGGCGCGCTGAGGGGGATGTAGGGCAGTGGGTGAGGGGAGCTTGGCGGCTGCAGGAAATAACTCCGGGGGGGCGAGGATCTTGGCAGGCCACAGCAAATAACTCCGCGGGCTGCATACAACCTGCCGGCTGCATGTTTCAGACCCCTGCTCTAAATCTTCCAAATATTCTTCTGTGGCTTGTGTGTTTAGATTGTAAGCTCCTTGGGTAAGCGACTGTTTTTTCCTTTGGCTATTGGTCAGTACCAAATAAAATTTGAGTGCTTTAAAATAATATTATTGTAATTTAGTGAGAAATTGTATTAATTGCAGTATATTTATAGATATTTCTCTGCTGGCTTCCTTCCAGGCCTCAGTACCTCTAAGACATGTATTGTTTCAAATGACTAATGATGGATAGGTCAACTTAAATAATTGTTTTGTGGGATATGTTGATTATATTTGATAGTGTTAGTCTGCATGATTTTTGCTAGTTTTGAGTTACCGTTGTCAATTGATGCATGAGATACAGTTCCATAGGTAATGTTGAGTTGAGTGTTGCACTTAAAGTTGGAATTCAACCTCTTTATTATTCATGAAAAAATACAGCATATCCTCCCTTGGCCAAAATTACACCACTTAAAATTTCAGTAATGCATAAACTTTGGGAGAAAAGTCAAGTAAATTTATTAGATAATTTGAGCTATAATTAATTTTATTCGGGATTGCACACTTCATAGCTCGTGTGGGCTGAGCTTATTGCCCATGCCAGGGGCTCCTTGCATTCCTCCATTCCTCTCCACAAGCTCCCTGTGTGCCATCCTCCCATCCCCTTCTGTTTCAGGGACTCCCTGTAATTCTCCCAATCTCCCCACTGCCAGGGGTTCTGTTTGCCTCCCATTTCCCACCTCCTCCCATACCAGGATCCCCATTCTCCCTCCAGGCACCACCATTCCTATTTCCCCCCATGTTGCCTGTTCCTCCTTTTCCCCCACCCATACTAGGATCCCCCCATTTCCCTGCCCATCGGGGGGGTTCTGTTAACTCTCCCCCATTCCAGGGTCCCCCATTGCATTGTGTTCCCCCATTCCCATTTTCCCCCATACTAGGGTCCCCCAATCTCATAGGGTCCCCCTATGTTGATATTGACCTAAATGTTTTTCATTCTTTTGATTGTGATAGACAAGTTTTGGGGACCTTTGCCTGTGTTTTTAGTTTATACTAGGTACGCCAATTAAATTCTGGACCTTAGTACCTTAAGAGTTACAGAAGGGACTTTCAAAAATGTTTGGTATGAGCTGAACTCTGCTCCCAGTGAAGTCAATGGCAAAATTCCATTGACTTCAGTAGGGCCAGGATATCACCCTGGGAGTTTTACCATTGACTGTAAGTGGAGCAGCGTTAGACCAATGCTGAATACTTCTAAAAATCTTACCCTGTGTGCATCCCACCCTTAGGTGCCCAAATATGGGCTTAAGAGCCTAACTTTAGACTCCTATCCTTGAACTTTTTGGTCTATGTGCATAAAAGAGTTTACAGTAATTTTGTTTATGTGCTAAAGGTCTAAATAACTTCTAATTATTAAAAATGAAGAAAATTTATTTTAGTATCAAGATTTTATGCCATTAAGAGAAAAAATTCTAAAAATACAGTTTTTACCCCCTGATGCGTATGCTTAATTATAAGTAGTCCCATTGAAGTCAATGGGATGATACATGTAACTAAAGTTATGTACCCACTTAAGTGTTTGCAGACAGCCTCCTACTAGTGGCATTAAAACAAACAATATTTATAATTTAGTGTATATTATAAATTTTAATCTAAAGATGCTATAGAGCAGTTTTTCAAATTAGTTTTAGAAAGACTGAATCTGATTTAAATCAATTATTGCGGGGGGGAATCAAGTGATTTCAGTTGGTTTGTTTTAAATTGCTCCATCCTGAAAGGTACACTTTCAAGAGTAGGATGGAATTACATACATATAAATTCATGTTTTTGCCCTTCTCTTTCTGTGATTTAGGCCTCAGGTAAGAAAACAGTACCTAATTCTGCCTTGTGGTCCATGTACCTTTCTAGTACTGCTAAAATATAGCAATCAGCATACAATTCAATTTCAAGATTTACAGTTGATTGCCTTTTTGTGGCCATAATACTTAAAATAGAAGTTGTTCTAGAGTTTTTTTTACTTTTTGAAGCAAAACAAACTGCAGAAAAAACGGAATGGAATGACTGTGACAACCTGGAAAAGGAACCAGGAGTTTGTATTTTATTTATTTTCTGGAAGCATCATGACATTGAGGAATATATGGGGAAAAGAGTGATTCTTTTGTGAGTTTTTTTTTCGTGGATAATTGATGAAAATCTCATTTGATTTTTTTAATCTCTCTCTCCCCTCCCCACCAAAATGTACTTTTACAGAAGCATAAGATAGATCTTTTCTACAAACTGCGCCATGTGATGAATGAACTCATTGACCTGCGTAGACAGCTGCTGTCAGGTCACTTGACACAAGATCAGGTGCGAGAGGTCAAGAGACACCTTACAGTGCGACTGGATTGGGGTAATGAGTAAGTACAAGTACCATCCAAGTGCCATCTGTTTTAATTAAAATGGAATGTTTTTTGTGTAATGGAATTTGCAAACAGTTGAACTATCTTCAAGTTGTTGGCAACTGAAACCAAATATCACTTTTTACATTCTGAGTTTATGGCGTACCTCCTCCCCCATAGATATACATACAGTAATTAAAAATTCTAAAAATGTATGATTTGCTTCTATTATTAATTCCTTTCTGAAGGAGTCTGTATTTTTCAATGTGTTTTAGGCCTTTTCGTTTAAGTTGTACAGTGAATATTAACTCTGAGGTATTCTATACATTGTAATTTATCTGCATTATTATTATTATTATTATTACCATTTTGCCATTTGAAAAATTGTTACTGTCAGTGGAACAGCTGTACATTTGGGTGACACTGTAGAATAGCCAGAACTGGCACTGTCTGATCAAATGATTAACACTGTGGAGCTGAGGCTTATAGTATTCAGATTTAATTTTGTTTTAGGTCTTGTAATCTGTATAATTCTCTGCTGATGCTTTCTCAGATTTTGTGCCCAGATTTTGATGATCAGTCCTGTTGTAAAGAGGTGGCCATTTGAATCTTCTTTTTATGGAGCCAAAGGGATTTACAGTAATTTAGAGTTGAATATGGAATTATAATTAATTACTTAACAAAAAAACTAGCCCTATCCCAGAATCGACTCTTGGAAAACAACAAGGAAAAAGCTTGGCTTGCCTAGTTCTAAGGCCAAGTTCCATGAACAGATATGTTATGCGTGGCATGCACATGACCTTTTCAGAGGAAATGTCACCCCCTTAGGCTTACAACAACCTTTCTTCAACCAGGATGATGGATAAGTTATAATTAAAGTACAGAGTAAAATTCTGTGTAAGTTACCAAAAACAGAAAAAAAATCAAATTTTCCTCCCTAACTTATTCTAGTCGTGTCCACATTCCTTGAACACCTGTGTCAGGACTCCCATGGAGAAGAGTACTGGAATGAACTGTCAAAAACTCAGCTGGCCTCTCTTCTTAAATTAATATATTAGTCTCTTCTTAGCTGAAAAAGAGGCTCTGAAAGATGTAGACTAACAGAATTACTTAAGTGATTGTCTTGCATTTTAACTCCCACAAATGTAAATGGAACCTAATAACCATCATGATGCTTTGGGATTCAACCCAGACTAGTAAAGGGTTGTTTCACCACCTGCCCAGCAAATCTAGATGCCTTAAATGGTCTTGCTGTGGCTCACAGCCCTGACAACAACAGCCAGCAGACAAGCATGCAGGTCACACCCTGGTTTCCATTGCTCAGTTACTTTTGCAGAGTGACCCAACACCCTCCCAGTTCCGAATATCCCCAAAATCATCTGCTAATGTGGCAATCTGCTGAGGTTCTCAGAAATGCAAACTCCTGTGTTATTCCTCTCAGCCTCAGTAAGTGAGAGTTTTGCTACTGCTAAGTTGTGTGACAAGTCCCTGACAGACCAGCTTGTCTGTCTTGCCAGTAAACTCTTCAGGACACACCTTGTCTTGTATGTAACAAACAGTGAATCCCCAGCTCCCGAGTTCCCCAGAGATGTCTCCATGCCATGCCCAGCCCTCTCCTGGAACACTCTCAGAAGTTAATAAGTTTGCTACTCCTTTAAAGAAACTGTGCACTGCAGTTCATTAATTTAATTAGAGTTTGACAACTCTCTTATTTCAATCATAGCACAGAATTGGTTTTTAGTAAAAGTAAAACAAGTTTATTTAACAAAAGGACATAGGATTAAGTGATACCAAGTAAAAGGAATAAAGATAAAAAGGGTTAAATGCAAACAAAAGTAAAAATACATTTCTAAGGCTAAAACTTAATTTCAGCAAATTACAGTCTTTGCCTAAGCAGGTTTCTCACCTAAACTCAGTTCCCAAAGACTTCAACCCACTTGTTTGAAGGATCCAACATTCCATATTCAAGAGCTCTGGTCCCTTTAATTTCCCAAATGATGGATAATTATGAGGGTTCTCTCCCCATTCTTTTTAAAGTCCAGTAAACCTTTGAAATGTATTATTTGACAAGTAAGCCCAAACAAAGCTTCTCTCTCCTCCTGGGATGTAGATGCCATGATGTCTTCCTAAAGTTCATTGTCCCTACTTCAAGAGGCAGGAAGGCTTTCTGTTGTTCTTCCCTGCCTGTTGACTTCCTATCATATGGAAATGGGGCTTCCATTGTTTTGATTCCATAATGCTTAATTTACATTGGAGACAGATAGGTAGCTGTCTTCCCTCCTGTTAGGGAGAAAAACCTATGCATTTGGTCACAGACTTTAAAGCATATCATCAGTGAGTATGCATAATGAATCACCAGTGTGATAAAAGACCTTGATACACTTTTATAATACAGTAATATTGTATACAAACAGTTGATTTAATTGTATCTTTGAGGTTCAGCCCCCCTGTCTTTAATAGTTATAGTTTCCCCCACTTGCTGGTTTGATGGCTTTGTTTACCTTGCATGTAAATACAATTTCATTGACTCTGCGTGGTGATCAGGGTGGTCAAACAAGTACACATTTCTTTGTCTAGGGCATACTGTACTTATGCATTGCTTGCCAAATACATTTTAAGAACATAATTCTAGAATATCCATAACGAGGGGTGAAAGTAATATAAAATTTTTACTGGTACGGCCCTTTTAAATCGCCGGCCCTGGGGCAGCTGCCTCTTTTGAGCCCCTGCTGTTGGCGGCCTGGGGGGGGAGGGCGGAAAAAAGGGGCAATATCGTTAAAGCACTACCAGCAGGGCCGCTCATGGAGGGGGGAGCAAAAGGGGCAGCGACGTTAAAGCTCTGCCACAGCAAAGGACCCTTCTTAAAGTGCTGCCACAGCAGCGCTTTAATGTCGGCTGCGTACGGGCCGGTACCATCTTCTTACCGGTACATCGCACCAGCCCGTACTGGCCCACTTTAACCCCGTCCATAACACTTTTTGTACACATCTTGTATATACCTTACACAAGAACATTAATGATCAGTGAGTTATTAGTTTCCCAGTGATATATTGCATACCACTTTTTGGGTATATGTCATGACAACAGTGTGTTAAGTGCTGTGGGTATGTCAGGCCTGACAAGAGTTGTTGACACAGAATAGTGAACCTCCAAAGGGCCTCTGTGTCACAACCATACAGAAGCTTTATCCCTAGATATTTTTGCTGAGAGAGGCAGCAGACAGAGTGAGCAAGAGGAAGTGAGAGAGGGAGTACTGAGAAGAAAGGAATTTGGACTAAATGGTAGTTCAGCACTGAAGGGAGTAGGTTGCTCAATTAGTTGTTAGTGGACCAAAGAGGAGAAGTTCTGTTAAATAAATAATACAATAAATAAGTGTAAAACTTCAAGATAAAACCCATTACCCAACCACCTTATAGAAATGAGCAATTGAGGTAAATGATGGTTAAATGTAACATCTGCTAGGTAAACCAGTAATACAGTGGTATTCTGTTTACGGTGGTAGAGAAAGACAGAACTTATACTGTGCTAGAGAAAGAGATGGGTTGAAATCACCGAGGCAGAAATAGAACAGGATATTAGATAAAAGTAGGCATATGGTATAGTGTGTGTGTGTCTGTGTATGTAAAAATCTGTATACTTGTGTGAGAAACATAATAGAAAAATAAATGAGCTGTACTGGGATAAAAGACATGTCTGAGGTATGGTTGGATGAAAAAAATCAATGGGCTATTGTAATACCAGGCCGTAGACTATATAGGAAGAATGGATTAGGTTATAGAGATAAGAGCATAGCACTGTATCTAAAAGATGCCATAAAATTTAATTAGATACAGTTTCTGAGTAGGGAGGATGATACAGTAGAATCCATATAAATTCAAATCCCATGTCACAATAATACAAATATATTAATAGAGTTATACAATGAGTCTCCAGATAAGGAAAAGTATGTTCAGCATATAATGTTGAGGGAGATCAAAGAGCCAACTAAAGAAAATAAAACAGTAATAATGAGTGCCTTCAAGTATCCACATACATATAGGTCACGTTGGGGGACAGTTTAGAGAAACAACTTCAGAATTTGCTTCTGGGAATAGCTAGCGCTATGGCAAACAAGAGGAGAAGCTATCCTCAACTTAGTCCCTGGAAACTCTCAGAAGTTGTTTCAATAATGACGATAGTAACAGCAACAGTAATCACAATATTATTAAGTTGTTTATACTGCCAGGTGACAGGAAAGAGCTGCAAGGGTTTCAGAAATCAGTGCACATAGTCTTGGTCTCCAAGATACCATGAGAACTGGTGTTTGGGAGCAACATCTTTTTCTGCAATCTCCACACTTAGAGTAGTAGAATTTAGATGGAATTCCAAGAAAGGGGATTTACCAAGCTTTCTTCTCTTGGAGCATCTCCTTTTCAGTTGTATCATGGAGGGCATGATTATACCCAGAATTATTATTTATTATTATTGTTGTTGTTTTATTAATTATCCCAAGTCAAATGTTTCTTATTCCTTTTGAAGACTGAAGTAGTACTTTGTTGTTGTTGTTTTTATTAAAAAAGTAAATAGTAACATTCACTGTGAAATAGTGACAACCTTACAGTAGTTTGGAGATCAGCATATTAACTTTTAGAATCAGCAAAAATAATTTAGCAACACATCCTTTTTTCAGAAACTGTCTGTTAACTGACTTGACAGTTTTGATACTTGGAGATCTGTATTCATTACAGCTATGTCTGGGTGAATTTTTTCTTGTGTCAAGAAGCTGCTTTTTTAAACAAAATCTGTCTCAAAATATTGCAAAGTGTAAATGTGATTTAAATATTATATCTTTCTTCCCTGTCTTGTTATGGAAGTTACTTTCAGTTCTCACTAATCTTTAAGTTCTTTAACCCCTTTTTGAGCAATATTGTCTGGTATCTAGAACAAAGGAGTGAGTGTCATGATTCTCCTCTTTTATTCTCAGGTTTGTCACTTTCTTAGTGTGTAACTTAACCACACTGTGCCTCAGTTTTCCCATG